AATTTCATGATTAGACTTGCTTAAGTTCACGATCTATATATTTCTCTGTTTTCTAAGTAGTTGTTTATTTCCCATTTGACGATATATAAAAAGCATCTATTAAGCACATTTTTTAGTTTGGAGAACTGTATTACACATAACCATACGAGGCCAGTGGGTAGTGTATGGTGAGACATGTACATGCATAGAAGAACAATACAATAAGTGCTGAGCTTAATGAAACCCATACAGATTTTTTGTGACCTCACCGTGGTGGGCAAGTTTACATTTTTTAGTCCGAATGAAATTAGAGGATGAGATGCTGCGTGCATGATGCGTAGGCAGGCCTATTTCAAATCCTAGTCAAGTACATATACACGACGACGATGGATGAAGAAAGAAGGCACACACCGAACATTATTCGTCTGTAACTTAAAGTATAGTTGAGTTGGTTGGAGGGAATTATTTTGAATAACCTACTGCAACACGAGAGAACAATGGAGATGTGTTCAGCAGGAATGGACAAATGATTACGATATGATGCAGCAGGCCCATATAAATACTTATAGTTAGGCTTTTATGAATACGCCGAACTGGAAGGATGGATTCCAAATCCTACGACGAACAGAATGTTCGTTTGTAGATAAGAGTGGAAGAAAGGGTCAACTTTCGGGACCTTAAGGACCTTATCAACACCTACGAGTTAAGAGGAACCTTGCGTCTCACCCTTTGTATCGACTTTGTATCTTTTATTTCACATGGTCGAGACAAAGTCTTTTGTTTTTGGTGAGAAGGCTCTCCACCCCTTCGTTAACGACTTTGAAATCTCAAATTGGAAAGGTTATCTCGAAAGATCAGTGAATTAAAAACTGCTTCAATAATTACTTGAAACGAATTAACATCATGGTCTGGCCATGTTTCTAACTTCATGGGATATATGTTGATACGAAATACCATGTGAATCAAAGTGATCGATTGGTGATTCAAGTTATGAACTCTGTATTTGATAAGGATGGAGAATTATTAAATCAATGTGAACTGCTCACGTTGATTTTGTCTCCAATCAAGTTCAGCCCAAATAAGTAAGAGATTTGGTTCAATGTCCATTTACTATGAAGCTGTGTTTGAAAAAATCAATCACATTGCCACACTGCTCACTTACTAAATATCAAAAGTAATAGTTGATTTTGTGACTGCAAATCTTGCGTTAGGAATCTTTGCGTTCTCTTTACAGTTTGCGGTTCACCTACTCAATTTATTACACCAAGCTAAAGTAAACTGGTAAAAAAATCACTGTCAATATCCTAAATTTGTCGTTTAATATGTGATGCGGACCAAGAATTACACAATCAAGACGCTGGGCGTACAACCGAATCGGCAGCAGAATACGAACAGGACATGGTCGCATAATAATGAGTAAAAATGTAGAGTGTAAATTGGTTTTGTAGGCGTGAATAATAATTTGAACAGCACAACTTTGCCCGATAATATATTAGCTTAGTTATTCGAGTTGAGTCAATTTAATTCAGCGTGTACAGCTTTTCCGATGGGCTTTAATGCGGCGAGCTCGTTTTTGTCCTTTGTTTACGTTCGTATGTATATGAGTGACTTGTCCGACCAACCGCATTCGTTTGATTTCGTCTTTTTTTTAAAACTTCAACGGTGCATGATTGTGTGAGCATACGCTGCTCCCAGTCCAAATTAAAATGCTTTTTGCTGCTTCCCATGCAAAGACGAAGCGGTACAAGAACCCACACTTTAATCCTTAATTACTCTCACAGTCAACAGTGTCGGGTGTAATGAGCAATTTCGGAAAACAGTTCTTATCATGGGAAGATGATGCCCAAGAAACCTCAATGCATAACGAACAACGTCTCACAACTGTCGTCAAGTCCAGAAATTCAGGTCCCCCATCTGGTGATTTTTTTTTATGACGAGCGGAGCGGTGTTAAAACAAGGCAATTTTTGCGATTCAGATTTTTCTTACTTTTCACCAATTAATTTTAAGAATTCTGAAATAAACTTGAAAAACCTTCTATTCTCTTCCGTCTATGGCTATGGGGTTTGCAAATCATGATAGCTATGCACCGACTAGAGGCATTCTTATAATTTACAACAAACCCACCTTTCAGCACACAGAGAAAATATTGTGTAGTAAATTTAGTGAAGTTCATGTATCATCCAAAAACTAATTGCATGCATGCTCTAAGGGAGAAGCTGAGGTAGTAATGAGCTGATTCAATATATTACATCGGTCAAGAAGGAATCCTGCAGTGAGCTGGTCTCCTGATTATGAATTTGATTGAATTTATAATGTTCCCGTCTACTACTACCACCTAACTTACAGTGTGTTGTTACCAAATTAATGTAGAAATTAAAAATCAAAGTAAACGTCTTTAATCGACGAATGAAATGAGATTCATAGTATGCGAAGCATAAGACTTTGGTGTGCAACGTGCTTTAGTCGTGTAAATAAAAATCAGGAAGGAAGAAGCTGGCTGAGCGGATGACTACGTATTTCAAATTCAAAACGAGGTTCGAGGTTCAATTTGTATTCAAACTCAGGTCATTCTCTCCAGCAGACATTTCGACTTAATCATTTCATTTTACCTCACAAGTGGGATTCAGAGGTGAGCGTGTCAACCCGTTTGCTGTGTGTGAGCCATCCACCTTTGCCAGCGTCTGTTTTTTTATGTCTTCAGTTAGTGGCCACCATATCACTTATTATGCAATGATAAACTAGTTTCAACTACCAGGCTCGTATTTTGTTTCGTCCAGTGCAGCAAAAAACTCGAAATGGAATCAAATGTCTTAACAAAGGCCAATAACTCATCTCTACTGCATTTCGAATAAATAATAAAATAACAAAGTAGGGACGATTTTAACGACCACAACGGCTCTGTTTTTCCAATGTCTCGGTCTAGAATTTCTTACTCCAGACTCTGCAGCTTCTGTTACATAGTTGGCTAAGTATCTACGATGCATAATACTCATCGCATGATCATCTACATATACGAAATACCAACACATACATTTATCATTGTCCCTTAACACTGGGGCAGGTCCCTATAATTAATTATTTCAAGGTGTAGATAGCACAAGTAAGAGTTGTGTACACTCTTTGATTATTTATATCCACGTATGTGCGGGTATCCAAACAAATACATACGCTAAAAATCTACAATGTGTTTATGACAGATACGAAAGGAAAAGTGTGTATATCAATTTTCATATCCTTGTGTCGGATGACTAGAAATGGATTAAACTTTAGTTATCAAATAGCGACAAAAACGAATTTCTTCACAGATATGTACACACAAAAATGTGATTAAACAGGGACTATCATTACGTTTTACGTTGCGTCTATACAGCGTAAATAAGTATGTATAAAGGTTGCTCAACTACTGGCACCTTTGCCTAACTAATGAGTGAAATCAATTATCACATTCCCATGCACATAAATTTCAAACAATTTGTCATTTTACATTTTGACATGCATAATGTGTAAATAGCAATAATAACAGCAAAATGCTTGTGTAAATAGTACGATTAAATGTTGTTTCATTTAACGCAAATATGCCTCGCTATTTTTAACTCTTAAACTTCCTTCATTGATAACGCAAGATTAAATCAAAGTCGTCAGTCGTCGATCTACCACTAATAATTTACGCGTTGTGACACTGACAACGTGATAATTGCGTTTTATATTAATTTGAAAGAGTGTGAGCAACAAACAGGTGTGCGATATCGTTTTGTATCCGTTTCCACATTTTAAGTCGAGACTTTCGAAAGTAATAAATGATGATCCAAGTCGCATCATGACACGATCCCATCAATTCCAATAATACTACTCTCCCAAGTATGTAGACACTCGTTCATCAACGCGGTCGTCAACAGCTCGTAGATTTTAAATTGATAATGTTTCCTGCAAACTGTGATAATGCTAATAAAATATCCTCTCATTCGTGAAAATAATGAACTTTTTATTGCAATAAGTCTGTAATTAATTTCTCCAAATGATGCAAATCTCATGCTGGTAGATCGTGAAAGAACATAAGGAACAGAGGAAAATTTGCAACTGGCGACTGTGATCCTAAATTTGAAGACATGGAAGTCCTCATATTTTGTAATTACTCATTCGCTGTAAAGGAAGAAGAATAGCAAAATTTGGTTTGCAAAATCTCTAAATTGCAAGTATTGTGCAATTCAAAGATTTGTATTTTACATAGTAGTGACAATGTGGCAACTTGCAGAACACAATATGTAAGTCGTTGATGTGTCGCCAAGCCGAAAATAATTTTACCTACTTTTCAAACCCATCTCTCTTGAACGGGTTGTTGCGGTAATTTTTAGGTTTCGTATCACTGTTAAATTTTAATTCCACGGACGACACCTGGAAATGCTTCATTGGCTAGTACTCAACCATAAAAAACAATGGCAGCGAAAATTTTAATCCAAATTGTCCTCAAAAGTGTGGACTAGCTAACGGTGGTTCTTATATAGCATGTTTTAAATTTAAATTTTCATACTCTTGAAGAATTGGAATCCACCTCATTCCTTTTCCAAATTACTCAAGATATAAAAACAGAGATTGGATCTATTAACTCATTAATTAGAATAAAAAAACAATTGAATATAACGACACTTGTCAAATATGAGAAATAACCCAATCGATAAAAGGACAATGTCATTTTACGCTTAAATAAATAAATACCCCGAAACTGAAATATAGCAAGAAAAAGTGTATTGCTAAAACCGAAAAAAATCAGGCTAGTTGCACAAGTAAATAATGGGAAGATTTTATCTTGACTTCATGAGCTGAACTATCAAGACAGCCATCAAGTGGAAAATTTGAGTTGCATTATTTGTATAGTAAAACCCGTAAAATGTAGTCCTCATCGTTTCCATTATTAGTGACTCTTGCATTTACTGTGATTTCTGAAAATGTCTCAGTCGGGTAATCGCAAACCGAGCTGACTAATGAGAAAATGTATGCATATTCGATGAGGTGACAATATTACCTTTATCTGTTCCAATACAATTTGACACTCATGGGTGGCTCCTTTGAGTCCCGTTGTCGCTGAAGACGTTGGTGACAAAGCTAAATGATCATCGATGGATACCACCACTGTAAAAAAGATATAGGTTTGTAAATAATAATTTCAAGCGCGGAGAAATCTATCTTAATCACCACAATGCTTCACTTTGCATGTACTTTGCAGATAATTTCGATTGTGGATGAAACCTCAACTGAATACATGTTTTCAAAACTTTAAAAACTTACCCCTTTCGAAGCCGCTATTTATCTTGGTCACAAATGAAGCTTCTGTCGCTACACCAAAAATTGCACATAGTGCGAACACCATCGTAAAGTAAATTTGTTTCTCCATGTTAAATATTTTTAATAGAACACAATGATCTCATACACACTTTATTTAATCAATCACAATAGCATCACACATGCTTCGATAGGAGTGAGACGTTTAAATACCAAATGTCGCCTTTTCCTTTTAATTATTGTTGTTGTTAATCACTGGTTTGCAGAAAATGACAAATAGCTAAAATGTCGAATATAAAAATCGCACAATTTTATGGCTGAGGATTAGTTGATTGAGTTATGGAGTTTCAAAATCTCCATCAGTTTCATATGGAGCTTGTGCAAGTTCTTGATTTGTTCACTAAGTTCCAGAATTGCTGAAATGCTCCGAGTATGTAATATAGCCAAACCTTAAATAATTTTCAACAAGTGATCAACACATTGATCTTTTGTAATACTTTGTATGTAACTCCAGTTAACCGTGAAAAGGCAAACCCTCTTCTGTTATGCTGATGAATGGAAGGCACCAAATGGTACATAAAAGTCACTTTCAATTCCGTCTCAAACTTCTCAAATCTCACAGAACATATTATTAGTGTTTAAATCTGCTTAAGCCGATCGCTTCCAACTTCCTGGTAAAGATTCCCTCGTCTAATTAGTCACTCGTACTTACTTAGTGGTTGCATGCATAACTCACTTGTCGTTCCAGTTTAAAGAAAGATCTACAAATCGAGACTTTCTGAGATACTTCGTATGTTCACACAAAACACCGCATGTTAACTTGTCTCACAAACAGCCTATTTCCGTCCATCCCACATTTTGCTTCTTAAAGACCCTTTTCCCCGAAATTTGAGCTGTCCACAAAATTAAACAGGAAGGAATCCAGCTCGGTAGTCCAACTGTCACACTTTTTGTATCCGGATTACGTATATGAACTTGCTACATTATTCTTAGAAACAAGAATGTCGCAGGTGTTTCCCAAATGCTTGGTTTTTTGCAAAAACTGATCGTGGTGGTCTTCAGAGACGAGGAGAAATAATCTACATGTCACTAACCAAGAACCAACTAATAGTAGAAAAGTGGTTGAAATAGTCGAAGTCACAGTAACTTGAGATTATGTATGTGAGAAACAGATTGTGGGGAGACCTCTTTCTCACAAGACTGCTACAGCAAGACTGAAGACTTGGACTGAAGCCTGAAGACCATTTCAGTACCGGTTACCACATCAGTCGCTGCTGATACCCACAGCTTGTTGCAACGGCTTGGACGAGGGTTCTTTTGGTGGTTACACTATATACGTGAAAAGGTAAACGCTAGTTATCACCGTGAGCACAATGCAGACGACCGGCAACATACTAGAAGCGCTATGTTATATCTACTCTTATTCTGTGCACTATGTTGGATGCTGCATCTTTTTTGACTTCATGTCCCATCAATAAATGCACTTACTCATTTCCGAGGATAGTATAGGCTTTTATCATTTATGATTTGATCACATTAATTTGTGTCTCTGGAAATCATTCTTGTTTATCAAAAAACCGTATTATCAAGACTTGTTTAATTTGTAAATAATCAGTGGAAGTTATTAATTACTCACCTTCCTTATACATATGTACATATGTAGGTAACTTTTTACATTTTTCAGGTACACAGTTAACAGGCAAGAGTCTAATTGCATAAAGGGGTAAAGATTTGCAATATTTCGCTGTGGTAAGTTACACGCAAATTAGCCGAGATTTTGAGACGCAGTGTCGTATGATGTGATATAACGGCAATCAAAGTGATCATCCTCATGATGAGAAGCAGAGTTGAGACAAATAGAAGCCATGATGAACAATGGGATGTAAAAATAAATATGTCCCGACCGGGCTTGAAATAAGACGCTTCACCACTCGTACATGCATATTCACTTCCCTCGTCCATACCCCACAAGGAATAAATCTTCCATTGTTATCTGAATTCGAACAAAAGAAGAAGAATTTTCCACTGATTTACAGCAGCTCCAAACTTTATGTCAACCTTCGTTACATTGTCGTATTGCGGTTCACACATATACAAATGCACATATTCAGATAAAAGCATTATGAAGTTTTCTTGTTGGCTACTTACTAGTTTGATTTTCGGACTACACTGATTATATAAAACCAGATCTGTCTCGGCTCATTTTGATAATGAAGTAATAAATTGTGTGTCCTTTTACGTTAGAATGGGGACATGTGTATGTAACGCATTGTTGCCCAAACAGAGGAAGATATCATTGTACGCATTCCGTTATCATTGCTTCCGAGAATTCAATTAGTAGACATGTAACTACGTACAAGTGCTCTGCTCACTGCTCAACATTGCCCTGCTCTGAATGCAATGATAATACTGGATCTCAGGATCAGTGTTTCATAATTGAGACAGGTTAATTTCGTGCATTGTAATTGCAATCTGACAAACCACGTATGTATGTATGTATGCTGCATATGTACAACATATGATATCAGTCTTGAGGTAAATATTTAAGTATGTAGGTACATAAGGTATTGATTAATTCGTCCATAATTTTGATTTTTGATGAAGCATGAAATTATTGTGCATGAAATTGTGGAATGGTTAAAAAACAAAAAGTGTAAGAAGACGCTCATCATTCTGAAAGTCTCCAAAATTCATTTGAATCTGTCCTTACGGCCACCACCGAGTATTGACACTGGGCATGTAACAGCACAAGTGTGAACTTTTGTAAACTTGACTTAATCTCACCTTTTTCTTAAAGTTGGCGATGGAGACCTTTTGCGTTTGCTGTGAATTCCAAATGGACGGGAGAAGGGACATAAATCTGTGTGATTAAAAGCATTAACTGGTGTGATGTAATGTAATCTATGTGGTAATGTGTGATGTTAATGGGCACGCTTTCGAGCATAAAACAAACATTATCTTTAATGTACTTCTCTCTTAATTTCTTGTCAGCACCAGCCTGTCTCATTGTCCTTTTCCACTGTTGAACCTAGGCACAAGGAATTTACATATTTACTTCAATTCAGCAACCCATCAACTCTAAACTATCTACTCAAGCTGCTTGCACTCAACACTTGCTCCCAGTCACGATCGTGTTGGCAACATTTGGTCATGTTATGTGTGCATAATGACACCAAGTGAGCCAAGAAAAAAACCTATGCAACGCTAACAACGAGAAAAATATGCTTTCGGTCAAAGTTGACATGTAACAACAACACAAGCAGCCTACACCCAGACTTGAGAATCGTTGGACAAGTCTCCTCCATCCATCTTTGTATGCAGGGGATTGGATTGAGAGATTAAATTTCAAGTCACCTACTTGAGAGTCACCCTTTGTTTAGTTTGTCTAAGCCCACGCTGTATTACAATCACTGTTTACATTTGACAAAGAAATGGAAGTAAATGGCTGCGGGATGAGCATCATTACTCAGGAGACAAAGTCAACACGTTCACATTCTCAAATCCATTCAGGCTCGAGTTCAATCTCATGTGAAGAGCTATTACCATTGAGTTGTGGGAATTATTTAAAAAGCTAAAGATAGTTCTAATACCTAAGTAAATGCATACGCTTGTCTTATATATGTTTTATATTTTAGTCGCGTGTCACATAAAAAATTAGAACCACATACACATATTATTACACAATAAATTCTATTGTATTGCACATGTCAATTAATATTTTCAATTACATTGATAAAACTAAGCAAAATTTATGTGTCAGTGTGCAAATTAAGTATCCCAAATCAAAACCATATCACAATCATACGATCGTATATATTTATCTACATATTTCCTAACATATTTCCTTAATGTGCATACTATGCAAACTCAAATATGATGGTTTTCTTACCCATTGTGACCGTGTATATACTTCACATGAGGCTCAATTCATGAGAAATTAAATTATTACCCCAATCAGAACTGACTTCTGACAGGAGATGAATAATTGGGTTCAAAACACAGGAGCTGTTTTCTGACAAGTACAATTTGTTACATATTTTTATTTTAAAGGTAAAAAAATAATGAGTAGTTATTTGTGAGAGAAAACGAATTATTAATTCTTGATGATGCGAAATTAGTATGCATGATCTGCTTTCATCATTAATAGCATTCCGAAATCGGACAAAAAATGTGAATTTCATGTCTGCCTTCTAAATATGCAGATATGCCCATCTTTCAAAGTTGATATATCTACGCATGTTTGTATGTATGCTGTTTCTGATTTTCTAATATGAGCAATTAAATTCCAGCCCTCTGCAATTAGTTTCGGAGTCAGAGATTGTGGAACGGGGAAGTTAAAAAAACTGGAGATGAGGAGCGAAGGCTGCTAGTTGGAGATCATCAAATAATCGGTAGCACAAAGTACGAAAGGCAGCCGATTATCGGATGTAGGTAGATCCCTAGAATTACAATTAGTCCAAGCGACGAGAAACAAAATGGTATAAGGATGAGAGAATCCACATCACGATTTTCCTGCCCACATTTATTAGTCCCCCTATAAAACAGTAGCAGTTGCACTTTGTTTCATAGAATTAAATCGTTGTTAACCTTTTTATATTGCTCTTTTCTCAAAGGAGAAAACTGGTAGCCACGACACAGGGCATATGCATAATTCTTCACCATCATGTGAAATTGATGTTTAGACAACACCAAGAAGAAGCTGAAGCTGAGCAGTCATCGGCCAATTACTCGTTTGCATGTGAGAAATATTACAATCTTTACAATCACTTTGATATCTTGCTACATTTCATTACACTGCATTAAATACGACTCGACATGCTACACATTTGCATTTAAGGTTTGGACTCAACCCTTCAACTTTATTGCCAAGGCAGTAGTGGGCTGATTGTTACTTTCTGGGATTGGCTGCATGGGTGTTGTTGTGAAAATGTGGTGGAAGTATCGAGATACCAAATACCGCATTTCCTCATTATTATTCGAGGATGAGAGAATCTACCTCAGCAACAATTCGGTAGCAGTTTGTTTGATTTCGTTTTGATATCACTACAAAGCCATGAGATGGAATTAATTCTCTTCAACCGGTCATCAGACAGACGTCAGGGTCATCTTGACAAACCCACCCTTTTTGTATCGCCATTACAAACACTAAGGATTTCTGCCTCTCTTTTTATACTTTTGCTTATTACCAGCAAGGGTTGAAATAAATCCTCATAGATTTTAATTGGCTTTATTAAAACTTTGAAGAAGAAAAATGAATTTAAAATATGCAGGGCACTAAACGTTGCAATCATATTTTTTGTTAAAATAACACCAATCCCTTACCTCAGAATATTCATATTCATATTTACTTCAGCTCATAAACATTGCGTGCTCCATAAATAAAACACCTTTCATTCAAATTCAAGATCAAGAAATACAGAATTCAGTAATTTTTGTTATCTTTGGCGTTTACTCGACATATTGTGCATTGCTTATCAATACCTACTACTACCAACAATGAGGAAATAAATATGTATGGAAATTGTTGGGTTTAATCTAGAATATACATTATGAGGAAATGCCTAGTTTCAAAGTTTAAAAGAGATGAGCTCTGTTCTCATTGCACAGATTTGACTATGTACTAAATCAGTTTGACGATTCACTACCGGTAACTGTAACCTGACAGTATTATATCTAATCAGCGAATTTTTGGCAACCTGCAAGTAGAGCTTCCAAAAATTATTGTAGAATAAGTACGAATCAATGTATGATCTTTCAACCCAGCTTCTACAATGCATAGATTTCGCATTTACCATTTAAGCCATTTTTCTAGAGATAACTTATTTGTTTTCCCAGTTTGTTTATCACTATCAAGTTTGATCCTCCATTAAGTGTCTATATTCTAGTCATTGGTCCAACTTTACCAGTTGACAAAAAACCTGTATCATCTGACATAATGAATTATTAAACTTTACACAATCGAGGTAATATAGTGTGGCGAGTTGCTGTTGCTACCCATACTCATCATTACTGCGTATACAGGCATGCACATATACGACAAATATGTATACGACAAACAATCAAAAAAGTACACAAGAACATATATGCACATACGCATTTCCTTCATTATTCACCTTGTCACCATATATTTCCACAACTCAACAAAGTGCAAACTTCAAGTATCGTATTTACTTTTCAGAAGTTTGATTTGAATTTATTGCTGACTATCTGTTGATGGATGATGGTGATGATTTGGACTGGTCAATCAAGAATGAGAGCAACTTTGAAGATTTCAACCGTAACTGACGCTGAAGCGTCCGAAGTCATGATGCCAACCCAACTTCTGGTCAGCATCAACGGTTAGTCCGAGTCATTATCCTGAATTTTGAATCAAAGCAAGTCTGATCGAAGAAGAAAAGTCAGGCCCAGAATTTCTTTCTTTAAAAGTGCTCCTGTTTTTTATCACCCACTTTGTATTGAGGCAATGGCGCATGTACATATGCAATATCCAAGGATGTATTTTACTGAGAACAGTTACAAGGATGGACCTTTTTCTTTCGGCTTTAAAACCGGTTAATGCATTAATTCAACTGACAGCAATAACGCTGACTATTAACGCTCCATGGTATTTTTATTATTATGTAGTCCATCCAGCTATTCCCATGTAGCAGTTCATATGAGGCAAATACAGATGTGCATAATACCTACTACTTTAATTTTAATATGCGTATTTTATCTCATTTTTATCCCGCCTATTTCTCCTCTTTTTCAGTGATTACGTATTATAAATTTATAACCATCAATAAATTAAAAACGTCATTGTCACCCGGGTATTACCAAAATAGGATTTCTTGAGAGTAGCACCTTGTGTGTACTACATACGTAATCAAGATAATTGAGCTGTGTAATATGGGGTTTACTGTGGGAGTGGGCCCTCTTTTTGGGTGTTACTAAATCCCATTGTTGGTTTTTATGCCGAATATGTTGATTGGTCGAGTACAAAGAAAGCCGTCAATTCAGAATAAAATGAACCATGAAATAAATCTTACGACTTCGCCATTAACTGGATCTTAGGAGATCAGGTTACAATTCAAAACCATTTATGCCCTTTTAACACTCAAATTTCGGACCCTACGTTTACTTTATCGTCCATCAAATTTAAGTCGTGGAAGTAACAAATCCTACCAAACATAATTACAAACTGCGCAGAATTTTATTCATTAAATTTTATCACATTTGCGTCATTTCTTGGTTTAATTTTAAGTGGCGCTGGCCGTCATCTCGAATTCGAAAGCTACTGCAACTAAATACAAATGTGTTTGCGGATAAATTCTGTACTCAAAAGGCAGACAGGCACGCAGCCTGAAGAGTGGAGTAATGCATACTATTGCTAATGTAAAAATAAATATTATTTTTCACAACTCGTATTTATGCTATATATTTACAAACATGTTGGCTTTATTTTAAATATCATTAACCAAATTCTAAGAAGTAAATACTTATCCTTGATCAGTTATACAGGAACAACTTGATATCATTTGTATAAACAATTCGAAACGTCGGTATCCGAATGACATAAGAAATGACTATAATCTTTGAAATATTTACTGCATAACTGAGGAGCCTATAGCGTCGAATGTTTTGTGTAATTACATTTTGCTAGAACTAGAATTGTATAACAAAGTATGACCAACCGTTCTAATTTACTTGTCATCTGCATTTATGTGCATTAATACTCGCATGTGTATATACTTCTATGTATATGTATTGCGGTAGTCAGTGTTAAATTCATGGTATGCATATTTTGAACTAAAACATTTTTGAAGACCAATCGTACAGACATCTTTAACTTGGACTACGAAGCGATACGTGAATTTATTCTGTTGTTCTTATTAGGTTAAAAATAATAATTTTACATTTCATTCCCTAATGACAAGCTGTCTATCACTAATAATTCTTCTCGTGTCTGTGAATTTATATTTAACCTATCAGAATACATGTAAAGCAAGGAAACCCGTTTCATACACACAGGTTATAATTTGCAGTATTTGCACTCTTCTTCTGGACCACACACACTGTCAGTCGGTGATTTTCAGCAAGTGCATAGCTGATAAGGAAATCCGACTGACCTTGTGAAACATCTGCAACAACTGACAAGAAATAATATCAGAATTGGTAAAACATTAATAGATTTGAGACAAATCAATAGATATCCCTCTTCAAATTTGTACCCAAATTTGAAATAAAATTATAAGTTTCTAAAGAAAAATGGTACATTTACAGTCTTATACCATGACCCAAGTACTGGGTCTACCTGCTAAATATCTGCTACTGATAGGACACCCAAGAAGATTAGCAATACTGCAAACTGTGAACTGTCAATTTGCTAAGGAGGGCGGACCAATTGTAAATCAAAGTCATTATTACAATATTTCTAATTCTAGAAAATCTTAAAACTTCCAACTTTGGATAATTTTTCGACGAAGATGAATTTTAATTTATTCCAACACTATTTATTAGATAATTCGACCTTTCTAATGGAAACAATGGATTCTTCAGCTATTTCGGAGCAAAGTGATACACTGTTTCACCGACCATCAATAACAATGAGGCTTTTCTCACTCTTACAAAAAGTAGTCCGGATATTCTTTCCATCGGTGATTTTTGCAAAATTTTTCGCCTCCTCCATCATCCCACCCTTGGCAGACAATTTGATCCCACTATTCTTCACTGGGAACATACCAAATGAGTCCGGCCTCGCAATCGCATCTCAATTCACATTCATCAGCATTATTTTGGAAGTGATGCAGGAAGGAGTTGGCAACAGCTTGTTCCATTTTGTTGGAATTCATTACGAAAGCAATCGACCTCTATCTCTGATTGCATTTAAACTGTCCTTAGTCGTACTTCTTGCTGGTGGAGTGGTAATGACACTTTTAATGCTTTTGTTCACCCCACAGTTTGTCAATTTTATCGACACTCCTGACACAATTGCGGAAGAAACTCGAATATTTTTGTACACGAGTTCATTCAGTTTTATCCCAACCATCCTCAATACAGCCTTTGCAAACTATTTGCTAATTAGCACAAGTTCGTGGCTGGTTTTGTCTCAGTTAGCAACAGTCGTGCTTTCATTCCTCAACAATTTTTTTCTCTTTGGTCAACACGACTGGTCACTGCACTGGGGCATCGGGGAATTGGGATACTACAAAGTTATCCAGTCAACCCTTACAATGTGTGTGAACTTTGCTTTTGTGCTGGTCGTGGAGAAACTTTCTCCAATTGCATTCCTAGTCCGGGTTCCATTCTGTCGTGGGTTGAAAACACACTGCAAAGCGTTCTTTCGAATCTCGTGGGGCAACTTTAGTGATAGTGCAGTTAGGAACTTTTTTTACTTTGTGGTCACCTTAAAGTTTATGAATAATTTGGGAGAGAATGAAACTGGGGCTTGGAATCTGCTCAACAGCATAATTTGGGGAATCATACTTATTCCGGGATACGTGGTTGCCAATTACGCTAAAGTTTGCATTGGACATAATAATTCTCGAGTCAGAATAAAGACTGTGGCGCATGAATGTTGCGTTTGTCTCTTCGCTTGGATATTAGTTGTCTCAGTAATTTCAGGGATATTTTGGTCCACGTTTGCAGGTTTCTTTAGCAAATCTAACAAGGAAGTTCAGGAATTATCTGAAACCATGTTTCATCACGTTGGTTGGATTTTCATAATATTTGTCACCAACAATGCAATTGACAGCTTTTTCTACGGGACGGGGAAAACTGAGTATGTGTTCTATCAGAGTGCTATCACTAATATGGTCGTTTATTTTCCTCCCTGGATTTTGTACTTGTTAAATATTATCAAACCTACGTATTGGTGGGTTATCGGGTTATATATTGCTGGAATGCTGGTTGACTTTGTCCTAACTTCGTTCTTTTGTCTTAGAGTGTGGAGGTCAATGAGGGAATGATATTATTGTGCTGTGTATGCAGTACTACTCTGTTGTATAGGCAAGCATTTATAATACAATACTTATTCTTAGATGAGGCTATAGTTACTGCAGGAAAAAAAATCATCTAAGTAAGCAATCACTACGGTTTTGAAAAGCTTAATTTTTTCAGATCTAGGTCAATTTCCATCCGATTTTAATGAAATTAGTGTCCAGAGTCAATTATGGCAAATTAAAATTGAACTGTCGACCAGGAGGCTGGAATAGTGCCCTGTTCCTGAGATATGCAGGAAAAACACCATCGAAAATGTGTTTTATTGAGATTAGAAAAAAATGAAGTCGTTTATGCTAAATGTAAATGAGCAAAAAGTTGATAAACATTTTTTAGAAAAATACAAAATTAAAATACCCAAAATCGGTTTAAAACTGAGAAAGTTTTGATGGTGGTCAAAATATTGCCTCTCCCACCACCACCAAGTTTAGTTGCTAAGGCCCACCATTCAGCAAATTGATAATTACGAATAATAAAAGGGTACCCATTTATAAGATCGTTATGTCCTTCTGTCCGTCGGTTCGATAATTGTTAATTATTCGTAACGGATTTTGAACATGAATACAAGACCAGTTTGACATGCAACACCCCAGGAATCGTGTAGAGGAGGTCAACGGTCACATATGTTGGAACTATAATTATATAATTGCCGTTCCCAACATATGTAGTTTTGATCTTTGACCTCGTCCTCACGGTCATGAGGCCAAAAATATTGCCGGTGTTGAATTCGGGGTGAAATTTCCTTTAAAATGACACCCAATATGAAAATTAAGGTTAAGCTTAATTTTGGACCACAGCCTCTAGCGCTGTGGGGAGCGGTCCCATTAACCCTATTATCGAACTCGACCGAGATTCGTTCTGGAGATATCCTGCCCAGAGACGGACGTACGAACAAAACGATCGCAATATGCAGCTTACACTACTTAATAAATTACTTTCAATTGCGAATAAAAACTATTAAATAAAAGAAACCCAAAAAAGGAAAGCTTAGATGAGACTAAGAAGTGCGATAAAAAGTATTTAATAAATTTCTTCTCTAGTGAAGGAATAGAATTTTAATATTTCCAGCATCAGCGCCCCATTTCATTCACTATCATATAAATAGATACAAATATACAACTATTAAATTCAAATATGATGTAGCGAGAAATATTAAAATCATTTGCTAATTGTTCTTGTAACTAAAAAGTTATGAATACTTGTATTATACTTAAAGTTGATACATAATATACAGGTCTTACCAAATAGTCGACTCCTTTCCCCAATAATATGCATACGTGAACATGGTGCTTATGTAATTTAGCATAAAATAAAATGGGGCGCTGATGCTGGAAATATTAAAATTCTATATCCTTCACTAGAGAAGAAATTTATTAAATACTTTTTATCGCACCTCTTAGTCTCATCTAAGCTTTCCTTTTTTGGGTTTCTTTTATTTACATGTTTAGTTTGAGTTGAATGGATATTCTAAGCTGTTTATCATGGATGTCATTTAATCTGTAATAAATAAATGAATAAATTTAATTACTGTTGTTGTTTGTAATAATTTGTAATTCAATGTATTTAGAGACATCCTACACTGCTCGCATTGGCATTTTACCAAGATCGCCGGATCCATTTATTTGACCATTCTGTAAAGTTCTACAAAATCGATTTTATGAAATTTTACCTGGCAATGTGCAGACAGATTTGAGATGCATTCAAAATGGTAAAATTTAGATTAATTTCAAGGCCCGAAGATGAGTAATTTAATTACAGGTCTTCGGACTCCCTATCACCCATTGAATCATTGGAATGTTTGGGGCAAAGGGAAGCACTGTTCAGAATATAGATTAGGTCTTTGTTTTATTACACTGTTTCACTTTAAATGTGTGCATGCACATTGCATGCGTTGCTGGCATTGAATTAGTTTACCAGACTGGATGGCTAGATAAGATTGCACCTGTAACTTAACTTTTGAAGAACTGCATGGGATCAGGGAAAAGATTATAAGTTTGATAACTCGTGTGGCAGTTAGCAGTGCAGTAAGTGGAGGTGATACAGACAGACTTGTAAACTATATAGTGCAATAAAATCCAGTCTGAAAGGAGTGACAAGTGCACGGATCCTTCAACTTTCAATCTTAACTTTCTTCATTACATACTTAATTTGACTTACTTAGCTAGCTTGAAACCGGTCATATTAAAGCATCAATAATCCAGACCAAGATATGAAAGCGATGAAGCGATGCATAATCTCGATTGATAACCGTTGGAACTGGACCAAAAACAAGTTCTTCCTAGCATCGTTGACTAAGCTCTTGCTACAAGCCCAAAAAGAGGTGCGTGCACTTTTTCAGTGGTTAATAACTTGAAATAGAATCGAATCTTGCCATGTCAAAAGAAAAGTGTGCATTTTGATCTGAGGATCCTGAGCCATAACTTCTTTTGGTAATTAGAACTTGTTTTCCGTGCTTGAAGGCATGAGTAACAATTCTTGTACGTACATAGTTGCCCATGTGTCGACTGAAAATATGTTGTATACATATAATGACTTTCAATTTTTATTGGAAAAATCATTAACAAACAAGCTGCAGCTTTTATGCGTTTAATGAATAGTGAGATAAATCGTGTCCTTATACATAAGGCACAAAAATGTACATTCGAATAAAAATATACTTCTAAATGTAACAATTTGGACTCTGTGATCATGTTTAACAAGAACAGACAATGAATTAAAGCATCTTTACTTATACGTGCACACACTATTATGTAAGTAATACCTCATTACCCTCTCCGTGAATACCTTCGATTTCAATCGCTTTCATGGCATGACTATTACGTTTCCTAATTATTTCTTCCACCACCTGACTTCGTGATGTTGAAAATAAACTTTGTCGACTTAGTAGCCATACAGTCTGTTTGCTACCTAATTTCTTACATATGTATATCTTGCTTAGATTTCTCCTGTAGAGTTTTTAGGGCCGGCGTTCTCCCAACCTTTAAGACGTATTACCGATTATGTGGTTGTATAATTTTAAAACTGAACATCCCACTTCAGATTATTTAAGATAGGTTCCACAATTTTTCTCAAACCACTAATGCCCAGCCCAAACAATTTAGATTCTGTGCACAGTAGAGGCCCTTTTACCATATCTGACTTGCACTCTACTCCAGATTTCCATAATTTAATTTAACACCAATAAAAACTACATTGTTTTCGGTTACAACCTCATTTTAAGTGATTGCTTATTGCTCATAATAACAATGCAAGACGGACACTCCCGAGTTTTAAAATTTACGTAATGTTGTGTTAGGTGGCTGATTTGGTAATTCACACTCGTACAAAAATTACAAGTCAACGTGGTCGTTCTTATGTGCATAAACTTGATGAGATTCACTGATTTTGCATTTTGACCTGGGGGTTTCCAGTTTCCAGTCACTGAGCTGACTCATTTGCATGAGATTCTTACCATCATGAAATTTGACATTCAACTCAGACGACTAGTCATCGTAAACATTTAGGTTCAGCCGTTGAAGAGATGTTTGGAATGTTAATATCTAAATCCAGTGGTTTCAGATGACGTAATTAGGAAACCTAAATGTTAAGAGTGCAGTAGGCCGTACATATGTATACATACCTTTCATGGTTCTTAGATATTGTAGGGAGCGAAGGTTTATATTTGCGCAACAACTAAATGTATAAGATACAGATAAGTACATATACAGATACACATGTTAGTTTGTGGTTTTTGCTATCACCCACACCATTGGGAGCAAAGGGTATTATTAAGGTTTTGTTATAATTATGATCAAGTTCAACAGGGACTAAAAACTAGAACGAAGTACAGTGCTGAGTAATAGTAAAAAAACAAATCAGGTTCCAGCCATTTCATCCACTTGATTGGCAGTTGTTAGCAAGAAAAAACGTAGAAATTGTACATATGTGACTTGACTGAATTTGAATAATTTTAAAACCCCATCAAAACCTTTTCACTGCTACAGAACTTGATTGTAATCCAAATCTTGGATCAAATGCCAGTTTTAATTTTGATATCAGTGGTTTCTCAGGGTCCTGGTTTGACGAATTGCCCTGTGGCAAATTAGCATCTAAATACGATGAAACTGTATTCCGCCTATATCATTTCGCATTAGACACATTCTCTTTCTCGGCAACATGGACCTGTTTTCACCATCAACGTCAATCAACTTTAACTAATTTGAAATTGATTTTTATATAAAAATTTTCTCTACCCAGAAGTAAATAAATTAAGATTTCTACGGGAAGCCGTATGTTTTAGTTGAATTCTTTGAATTACTGTGACAAGGAATAAGACTATAAGTTTGAAGTTAATTGTTCGTAATGTAAGTTTTATGTTTCTCGCTTCGGTGGTGGTGTTGTTATCTACATAAAAGTCAAAAGTATGTATCTGCCAAAATAGTAGATTATTGCTTTCAATTGGTTCTGCACTACGCAAATGATACGTAATAAGCATCATCCTCTTCTGGCATTACTTTGGCTGTTGGTTGGCAGTTAAGTGTAGACAGACTATCAGCGTTTGAATAAAAACGAGTAGTTTTTCTCCACTGATCCACCCCAAATTCTGCCATTTATTATTACAAATTACGGACGGATTAAGAATGGGCAGCACGCATCGGCAGCAACAGAACCAACAGAAAGCCAGAACAACCTTTGGCATTAGGTTGGCCATAAGACATTCATTCTGCTAATGATACATGCAGCTCTTCTGAATTGTTGCCCATTACATTTTGCCTACGCTCTTTGACTTTATGAATTACTGTGGCACAATCATGTCGGGTTTACCATTCGTTGGACTAATGGATGATAATGTATGACCATGCAGACATATTGGGCACTAATAATTAGTCAGCACATCATATATTTTCCAAACGTATGATTTTAAAAGTGTTTTCGGGGTGAGGTTTCCCTTGTCATACAAATGCAGCAGCATGCAACAATCCTTCTTTTTGACTGACCGTACCACATATCTATGCACTTATGGCCAGTGTCACTAGTATACAACTGTGTAGTCTCATGTATTGCCCATTTTGTTTTTTGTTACAATGTCATAAAATCAGAGTTGTAAAATGCATGGGAATTTATTTAACATAGTACTTGATCCATCATCATTGCATCAAGCAACTGTCATATGAATTCGACTTGTGTAATGTTCTCCTTTGTTTCAAAGGGAGGGCCCATAATAATTATTGGGTTCTGAATTTTTGACAGCTCGGAGGGATCATTATGATGACCACAACCTCAAATTTTAAATGAATTACAAATGCATTAAATAGACAAGTCCACGGCTTCTGCTGAATGCCTTTGTTTTCGGGAGGCTTATTTGAGGTCATAGATACGTTGGATGGACTATGAACATATGTGTATACTTTTACGAAACTGATGTCCGGCTTGATTCTCCATCCAACTTTGTGCTACAAATAATTTCATCATATTTTGAATAAGCCCTGAATAAGTGGTAATAATATACACTTTTAAAAGAAAATATTGCCATTATTTATCTAATGTGTCCAGTGTTTTCACAAGCATAAAGCTACATCAAAATTAAGAAAATTTGGAAAGCAAATGGCATGTGCAGATAGAATTTAGGAAGAAATAAATACAAATGAACCTCACAGGTTCAATTTAAACTTTATTAAGACACCATCCACCGGAAGGGGGAATGTTTGCAATTTGCTAGTTGCAAAAATTCATTTTCTCAGTGATTAACCCAGCCATGCAATCTGAGTACCTGCGGATATTTTTACTCATGCATATACATACATACATTTTCCATGGTCTGCATTGCAGTGCAACAATTGAGTTGCACACACACATACAAAATAATTACATTGTATGGTCGTAAATCATTCATCCGGAGGAGTGTCCAGAAGTCCAGCTCGTAAAAAAACGATTTCCTTTGCATGTTAGCCAACCTTCCACTCGCCGTTTTTTGAAAAACACGTCACTAACA